TCATCATTAAAATAGGAGATTTAAATTGCTTTGATTAAATCAATCCACATTAAAAACTATGAGACAAACAGATACTATGGTAACGAGGATCATAGAAATGTCACGGATAGCCAGAAAATAAGTTGCTTATGAAGCCAAATGCCCTTAAAAAAACATAAGTAAACTGTTAGCTCTGGTCTACACTAGGGAATTATTTCAAAATACCCCTCCTATTTCAAAATAATAAGCGAAGCATCCACACTACCAATCCTTTTATTTTGAAATAAGGGCTGGTTATTTCAAAATCCGTACTCCTGATTTCCTCAGGGAATAACACTTATTTCAAAATAGTCCACTGCTGCTATTTCAAAATAACTCCTCCTCAGACTAATTCGAAGTAATTACTCTCCAGTGCTTCCTGGGGCTCTAAGTGCATCCATAATAATGGAGCTTGCTTTGGACTTTAATTTTGAGGCTCTCCTGCAGGTGGGACATACTACTTTGATTGTTATTTTTTGAGTTATTATTTCAAATTTAGTTATTTCGAAATAATTTCCTAGTGTAGACATGCCCTTAGTGCAGTTACTGTTCATCAACCAAATGTGTAATCTCATCAATAACCATATCAAGCTGTATGACAAGTCCTATTATTTTATGAAGCCTGCTGACCAGCATTAATTACCGTAAAATCACGAGTATAATGCGCACTTTTTTCCTGGTTTTTTTTTAGCATCAAAGTCGGGGTGCACATTATCCATGGGAGGTTTTTTTTAAAAGTTTTAAACTCACCCTCGGCAGGCACGAGCTGGGTGGAGGGAGGAGGGGCCGGTAGGCACGAACTCGGCGCGCCGGCAGCTGGGCGAGGGAGGCCCCCCTGGCAGGCGCAAGCTCAGTGCGCAGGCAGCTGGGTTGGGGAGGCCCCCGCCGGCAGACACGAGCTCAGCACGCGGGCAGCTGGGCAAGGGAGGCCGCCTCGGCAGGCGCAAGCTCAGCACACAGGCAGCTGGGTGGGGGGCAGCTTTCCTTCCCATTCCTTCCCTCCTGTTCTCTTATATAATGGGTGCGCATTATACACAGGAGTTTGGTTTTTTCATGATTTTAAGAGTCTAAACTCAGGGGGCGCATTATACTCGAGATTTTATGGTATGTTACCCTCCTTTAATGCTTCGTTGATGGCATCTCAAATCAAGAATAGACTAGAAGCCCTAGTCATGGAATAGGAGTCCCTTATGCTAGGCTCAATACAAACATAGAAAGGCAACTATTTGACAAAAGTTGTTAAAGGTGTGACGTAGTGGGGGTACTTGCTGGGCTGTGATGACCTCTGCTGTCTGGAGCAAGACCCAGCAGGGAAAACCTCATTATGCAAAGGTGATGCCAAACCTGTTGAACCAGATACCCCCCATGGAGAGGAACAAAGGAAGGGGGAATGCTGCCCTGGCTGGGGGGCAGGGCTGGAAGAGGGGTAGTTAGTTGCTGGCTGGGAGCATGGAGGAGACAGCCTAGGGAAAGGGGCTGGAGTTTAGGGGCCCAGTCTCCCCCCATCTCAAGGGGGGCCGGAGGCATCCTAGCCCAGCTCTGTGGCCAGATTACATCTGTGCTGTGCTGTATCTTGGGGAGGCAATAAACTTCCTCTATTCCACCGGCTGGGGCAGTCTGTTTGTGCCATTTCGGGGTTGCAGGAGACGGGGGACCCCAACACGCCATCACAAAAGGTTAACTCAGATGTCAAGGAAAAACATTATTTGCTCCATTAGTACATATGAGATTATTTTGTGGTTAAATATGTAACTTAATATATGTAATCTACTAATTAAATATTCTCAACATACAATACCTACAGGAGATCCAAAGCAACCAAGCAAATGCAATACAGTCAAGTGAGTGTTATTCTGGAACTTAAATTTTTTTAAATATCTTGACGTTCTGTAATTTTAACCTTGCAACCTAGCAGAACAGGTGGCAGTAAGTGCCACAGAAAGATACTGACAGAGGATATGGTAGCAATTTAATGGTCTGACTGCTACAAGAGTAATTAGTCGAAGCTGTTGGTTACTAAAAATCCAAAACAGAAACCTACAATGAGTTACTGAAATGTCTCACCTAAATGATAATCTCTACATTCGTTTTCTTGGAACCCTCTAACAGTCAGAGCATCAGAAGAGATCTCTTCACAAGATTCAGGTAGAGGTTGGATAATATCCAGTCTAGGTCTTGCACAACATTCCATTTCCTGGGGGGAAAAAAATCAACCACAATAAATGTTATCTGTCATCTTTATATCAACTGATGCTCACCAGAGAACAAGGTTTAAATACAAACTTCTGCCACTGAGTTTTCCAGAATGATACCTGTTGAGGACAATGGACACACCCAAATTATCAGCACCAGACTTAACTTCCCAGTTCTCTGTAGCTATGAAGTGATTATCACCACAAGAAACACAACTGAAATCTTCCTTCACTGTTTTAGTGACTTTATAGAATAATATCACAATCTGAAAAGAGTGAACACTATGCATAGAGAACAGGGCGGAAAGGGGAGAGAAAAACTTTCCCACCAATACTCAGATTTGAAAGCAGAGGTATATAGGCAGGACAGTGAGTGGAACCCTTCACAGCAGCTACACATTTGCTTCGGACAATTAGAGGGTATCAATTTGAACAGCTTGGCATTGTTCATGTGTTTAAAAAAATCCCCAATGTAAACACATCTCACTACTATGATCTATCACTGCTTGACCTGAAATTCTTTTTCCCTCCTTGTTACCTGAAGCAGTCAAAATTTCTTTCACTTTTCCCATTTACCTCATGCTTTATCCCAGCTCTTTTACAATACTACTTTTTCATTAACAACGACTTCCAATTTCCTTGCTCACTAGCATTTCACCCTGCCATTTCCCTTTTCATTTGTTACCTCGCTTTCTTTCAAAAGTCTCTCTCTCTCTCTCTCACACCAAAGGTATTACACTGTGTTAGCTCTCTTGGGAAAAGCTGCTGTGGCATTTCCCCCCCCTTAAAATAAATAAATAAAAATAATAACCTGACATCCTGCAATAGGGCTAGAAGCTAGCCCTATTGATTTCCATAGTTTTGAGCATTAGTTTGAGCCTACAGCATTTCATTGCCTAGCAACATGTGCACCCAGTTGCTTAAGGTTACTATAGTGATGACTGTCTAACGCAGGCACACTATCAAAGAGATGATCAAGAACATCTGCCACTCTTATATTGGGGCTTCAAGGGCTTTCCTTTCCCCACTTTTTACTGTGTATTTTGAAATAAATATATGAGGCAGGCACGATTATTTCCCTTCTGGTTAGTGATGTTAATTCCAAGCGCTATACATTTCCAAACATATCCAGTGCACAAAACAGATGTCTTGGAGGTGAAGGAAACAATCAACTGCTCTTCCAATAATTTCCACTGCCCAGACCACTCTGACTCCTATTGTTGGAGCTGATTAACTTCACTCTCTCTTTCCTGAAAATGCACACTGTCAGCAAGTTGCCCCTCCTTTCAGCTTGATGTATCCTTCATTCCTTCTCATGCACAAAGCCCAGAAAAGACACAAAGAGGCTTTCTTTGTTTCCCCCCCATGGAACAAAAGAGACCTGACTGCAGAGCCTCTGTAAGGTAAATACACTCGTCTTCAACATAACCTTTGTTGCCCTTATGTTACAGGTCAAGGAAGTTGGATCCATTGTTCACTACAGATTAAACTAATGAAGAATAATTTCATAGATTATCATTGTATACAATTTAAAACCTGAGAAGATTGATGTGCAACTGTAACACTAAAATAATTACCGTTTTCTCAGAAACCTCCTTTACATATGAAAGTACAACAAGCTGGTCGCAGAGAGGTGCAAGTCCACTGATGTAGAATTCAGTATCAAACTGGAAAACTGCAACACAGGAAAAACACAGATTTATATGAGAGCACGATCCTCTCTCCAAGAAAAACATGGATCTGATTTTAGGGGTGTCCAGCTGTGCATACTCAGCATCACAGACAAATCAGGCCCAAGGTATATAAAAGCACTACAGTACTCCTTGTTAGACTCACTGGGTGACAGAAGATTGCAACTTGCAAATGAAACTAAATTAAGGGTTAGCGAAAAAACATTCTTAGGCTCCATCACAGGCTATCAGTAAGACACTTGAAATAAGAGGGGTCATGTGGATTTTCAGTAGCGGATCACATAACAATAGGACTCAGAGCTTGAGGCAGAGCTAGTGCAGTTTACACAAAGTATTAAGAAAAATTTCCTACGTTCATTAAATTGTAGAAACTGACTTAGTAGTCCCCTTAAAGCTACTGGTGTGATAAATGGGAATTCTAAGATTATTATTTTATTATAAACGTATGCTTCATTATGATTTTTATAAATAGACTCAAGATTTTTTTTTTAAAGAAAATGTTAACAGATACTTTTCTTTGAACTGATTAGTAATGCAGAAATTCAATTTCCAAGATCACTCTTGAACCCAGGGGATTTAAATACTGACTGTAACTGTGCTGCTGGATGGGACTGCAAGAAACAACTGACTTAAAAAAAAACAACAAAGTTTAATTTCAGTATACACTGAATCACAAACAACAAATATATTTTACCCAAAATGGAAATAAATCACAAATTTTTTCCTGCCCAGTTTACATTTGTAATCTTGAAAGATAAAATAAAGAAAGCTAAAGAAATAAAATAAATGGGGAAGAAAGAGGTGAAATTGTCCATTAAGTAAGAAATACACCTATGAAATAAGAGTTAAAAGTAAAATTTGACTCTTAAAGAAGTAAGTACATATATTAAAACCATTAACACAGAAACTGTGACATCATTGTGGGATGAATGCATCACATAAGGTTAAACATTCAAACAACAATATCCTTGGGGAGAATACACTGAAATTTTTAATCCTCTATGCAATTGTTTTGTGCTGCAAGATTTAACAAGACTGTTTGAAATATATGACATTTTGAGTACTCATTTTAGAACAGCTGAGGTCAGAAACATTATCTGCATAATATATTTTGCTCCTGACATACAATTTAACATTTAAGGTCTGAAAGAAATACTTAAAGTAGAGAGGGAAAACTTGTACACAAAATAAAATGGATAAAACCAAAAACATTGATTATAATGTTATCAAGTTGGGGCTAAAGAAGATGTCTACTTCTCAAGAGACATTTTTAAAAAGAGCTGGGTATTCAAGTTCGGTGTAAGAGAACAAGGCATTTAGTGACATCTTTAGAAAGAGCACGAGTAAAACATGTTACATAAATTTAAATTTTGTTGTTTTTCAAATGGACGATTGTTCGCAACTCAATTAGGCACTTATGAAAATTTTACCCGATATGTCCACCTAGTGGTGAAGCTGCAATAATCCAACATAGCTGTTGGGCAAGATGAAACAGAACGCTGCAATAAGATTTCTTCTCAATGCTCAATTTTTCTAGTTCCAAGTTCAGATTTTCTATAGCTCATCCTTCTCAAGAGACTTTGTTGAAATACAATGCTGTAGTTCTCTCATTATGACCTTGACCAAAGAACATCTAAGACAAATGCTTCTTGTTTATCTAATAAAAGGTTTTGATACAGCTAATCCAAAGGCTTTTACTGAACAGATTATAAACGTTATAGCCATACAGAACACAAGGTAAGTAGCCAGCCTAATAGTTACAGGTGGTTTGTTACAAGACAGAACTACCAAATAAGCTATTCAATAATTGAAATGAATTTCAACTGGATCATGAAACTATTAAACCAAAACTAGCATCTATTTGCATTACAAGGCCACATTTATGATTAAGGCTTACAGGGAACAAGATGCAAGATTCAGATCAATTCTGTCGTTATGTTCATCTGTCAAAAAAAATCCCTCAAAAACACAAAAAAAACCCACGCTGAAATTCTTGATCTTGTTCATTTAAAAAAATAAGCCAAAAACCAATAAAATGTCAAGGTACTGTATTTTACATCTTTTACTAAATTACATCAAACTGATTTAAGTGCACAATGTTAGTATTTCACATTTTAAAGATGCACAACAATGCTTTAGACAAAACTAAAAACAAAATGCTTGTTTCACTTATTTAATTGCCTATAGTCTCCCTTTTTATGGTACAAATATATTGGATAAAATCCAGACCTCTAAAAGTCAGTGAGATTTTTGCCATTGGTTTCAAGAGAGTCAGAATTTCACCATCATCTTTTGAGATGAGAAAGCAGGAAACCGGCATAGTGAATTCATTTGAAACCGATCCATTCCATATCTTTATGTTGGGTGGAACTGACATATGAGGGTACAGAATATCTCCACTTTTTCCTACATTACAGATTTTAAGATGGTCTTCAACTATTAGCACAGTTTAAGCAATACAAAATAGGTCAAAAATATCACTAGTTGATCTGAGCTATTTTCATAGCATGCAATGACATCCAACGGAAAATAAAAATCACAGTGTGTAATTCACCCTTATATAGAGGGGCCAGCAAAAGGCTTATGAACCACTTCCTGTCTCATGCAGCTAGCACACAGATCAAGCTATGTTTTCCTGGATAAACTACAATATCAAAATTACCTTTAAAGTTTTTTAAATTAAAATAAGTAACAAGCAACAGGAATGGTTTAGTGCAGTACAACAGAACAGCAAGAGCTCTGAAATCAGAGGGAGTAGGCAGAGAGATAAAAAAATCTTTAAAAAAAATCACAATGGTATTTAGTGCAAGTTAAGCTTGAAATTCAATACCAATACTTTCAAATCAATAAAGTGACTACCTACCAACTTGGGTACATATGTGGTAGCTGGAAGAGCTGAACTGACACAATCAGCTCATCTAACAAACTATTACCCAGGCAGCAACATTTGTGGAGTTTATCTAAGAACCAGACAAGCAGTGAATTGTAGTATATAAAGGAAGGGACAAAAGTTAAAATTATTACATCATCATTGCCAGTAGAGTGAAAGATGACAAGTTATTATAGCAACAGATGCCTTAACATCTGAAACCTGTCCAGATGTTTAACTTAATTTCTCTTAGGCTATGTCTAGACTGCAGGCTTCTTTCGGAAGAAGCTTTTCCGGAAGAGATCTTCCGAAAAAATTTCTTCTGAAAGAGAGCTTACACACTGCAAACGCGCATCGAAAAAGCCATCTGCTTTTTCAAAAGATAGAGTCCACACTGAATGGACACTATTTCGCATGTAAGCTGTGATTACTATGGGTGGTATGGCCACCAGGCACCTGCTTTTTCCTCTTCTTGAGAAAGAACTCTCTCTTCCCCATCCACACACACTTTTTTCCCCAAAAGAGCTCTTCCAGAAAAAGGCTTCTTCCTCAAAGAAAGAAGTTTACCAATGTCAGAAAAACCTCTCAGTTCTTCCGTTTTTTTTCCCGAAAAAAAAACTCTATAGGTATAAAAAGGCATCAACATTGTAAAAGAAGTACAGTTAGAACAATTTAGTATAATTTTTCTTTCATGGTATAGGACAGCCTGGTTTAAAAGCAAGATCGATGCCACATTTATTTCCTGACTGTACTACCATCAGGAAACAAACCATCCCAGAATGAGATGGCAAGAGAGAATTGCTTTATAATATTGGCACCTTTGCTTTCCGGTATAGAGCAGAAACAGTTTAGTTTCCTACTCACCAAGCTGTACGCCACTGTAAAATGTTTGCACTCTCTTGATGCCAATGTAGTTTGTACTGTTAGAAACACATGGCACCGGTACTGGCACTGTTTTGGTGTCATGCTAAAACTACCCTTTTTACTTGTGCTTTTACTTGTGGGCGGGTAGGTGGGTGGGTGTGTTCCGCCTCGAGATGTTTTTAGTAGGTTTTGTTGTCCCTCTGGGTTCTCGTATTTTAATTACACGTATGACCAGCATAGAAGGGGTAGCAAAAACCAGGAGGACAGAATCAAACTATAAAGCAAACTGAGGACACTGGAGCAGTAGAGGCTGCACAATACAACATCTAAAAGCAAGAAAATGGAAAGGAGGTGGTGAGCAAGGTAATCAAGCAGCATACACAGCTGCTACTGAGAAGATGTGGGATTGGGAAGTTTAGTGCTATGGCATGAGACAATTTCTGTTTTAAGAAGGGGGCCAGAACACAAAGAAGTTTCGACTCACAGCGTTATAGAACTTTCCAAAATAGATATAGGTAAATTTCACAGATTAAAAACAAATCACTAACACTGAATGAGCCATACAGAACTTGTCTGTTACTACAGTTATTCATACTGAAGTTAGAATCCAGGCCTTGCAAAATTATGCAACACTGAAATGTTATCTGTGAAAACCTTTTGTTATTTTTTAAAAGTAGACAGAGTTTGTGGGATCTTACTTATTTCTACATAGCGGCTTGGCAGGTCTCGCATTTCACTTGCATGCCGCTCCTTTACCGAACATATCTAGAAAACAAAGATTTTATTCAGTACTGTTTGTGTCAAACTATTTTGCATTCTGAAGTACTTTGAGGTATATGCATTATTAGAGCTTTAATACAACTTGGGCTTTGCACTGTTGCAAGCTGGGCAATTACTATTTACCATTATTATTTAGAAGGAGATGATTAAAAACTGATGAAGCTGCAAGAAAGTACTACACAAATAAAGGTTGGAGAAGGAAGGAAAAATGACTCAATAACTATGAACTTGATTTTCACACCTCCTCCTTCTACTGAGTGACCCCTTAAGTCTTCTTCAGTGGAACAAAGTATTGTACAACCAGAATAAGTATGGCAGAACCAGGCCCTGTACATTTGTTTAGTGATTTATAAAACACTCTCTCGCTCTAGGTGCATTAATGTTATGAAACAGATTGCAAATATGTAAAACAGATGCAACACTTACTAAACCTCACCATATATTATACTCTTCCAAGATTTTAATGTCACAAAAAAGATCTTTTATGTTGTTTCCTGTTTTACTTCACCCCTTCCTTTCCATTTGCTCATATACCAGCCATATAAAAATGTCTCAATACAGCAGTCTCTTACTAGAAAACACCTAATGTTCATGTAACAAACTCAGTGAGAGTCTCCAAAAAAAAGTCATACACTTTTCCAAAGCATGTGTTTAAAATGCTAGTTTCCTGCTAAAATGGGACTGAAAGAAACATTCGTCTCCTCTTGCATGGTTGAAAGAAATTGTGTGTCCATCTAAGCAGTCAGAAAACACACACCTCATGACAAGCTGTTCCTGCTTATGCTAATAAAAATAAATGAATTCGACAACTCTACAGGAGCTTTCAAAAGAGGTAATCTCTTGAAGGCACAGAAATGAAAAATGTCCCCAGGGATTACACACACCGTATGTGCAGAGAAATCTGTCTGACCACTGGGTGTCTGTCATTACTCCTCATGAGGGTCAGCCCAATGATATTTCTATGGCAGCAGGAGTTCTGCACACAGTAGTCAAACCAAATTCCATTCTTTTCAATTGTCTTTGCTTTTCAAAACTAATCCTTAGTTTTTTGTCTGTGATAACAGCAAGCATTTATTTATAAGGACAGGTAATTGTACCTTTACTGAAGTTCCCCAGCCAATAATCAGTGTTAAATTATCTTTCCAGCAAAGGCTGCAGGGATACATATCTGGGCGAAGGCTTATATCATCACGAGGCACATTGGTAATTCTTTGCTTGGAGATCATGTCAAGTATCTTCACACCCTGGAAGTTAAATACAATACAGTCTTATCAAATATGCCATCTCTTCTACAAACGACATCTCAAAACATGTTGTGATATATTACAGTGTGTTCAGTCTATGGTGTACGTTACAGCACACAACTGTGTCAAAAGAAAGCATAGTAGAAAAATGTAAATGTTCAATATTCTGACCAATATAAACCACAAGAGGAGAAAATAAAGAGGTACGAGCTAGGGATGTTAAATATCGGTTAACTGAATAGTTGATTAACCTCGTGAATGCTTATCAGTTATTCAAGTATTCTATAGTCCCCGGGGGGCGGGGCTGACAGCCAGAGCATTCTGGCCCCACTCCTGACAAGCCCCTTGGTATCAGACGCAGCAGCATGGGGTGAGGGGATTGAGAGGGGAATCAGAATAAAAACCAGTTCCCCTCACAGACCAGCTGCCTGTCACCCCGTGCTTTTGCCTCTGATACACCAGCCACTGTTCGGAGGGAGGAGGGCGGGAGATGTCTGACCTCCCAGCCCCAGCACAAGCTGGAACTGAGCTGGGCTGCCTACCTTCCCAGCTCCTAATATACTTTAAACACAGATCTGCAGCAGGGGTAGGTCCCGGACGCGGCACAAGCCAGGACTGAGCTAGGCTGCTGGTGCCTGTTGGAGCCCCTCTCCCACCCGCAGGCTCCTGGGCAGGCCAGCACTTTCCCATGCCTGCTTGTCCCTGGGCCGTGGGTATTGCGATGCTCCCCTGGAGCATCTGTCTCTCTGCAGGAAAGGGCCCGCTGTCTAGGCCTTGCTCGAAGCACAGCACCATCATCTGCACCGAGACCTTCAGTGTCGGTTCAGGGACGAGGGCTAGGTTTAATTCAAAGGGTCTCCTGTGATGACTGCCCTTGTAACTTTTACTAGATTTAATTCAAAAGATCTCCTGTGATGACTGCCCTTGTAACTTTTCTTCACCGCTAAGCCAGCTGCGAGCTTGGTGCGTCCCCCACCTCCCACTCCATCTATGTGACTGAGCGTGAGCCACACGTGGAAATACACCTAGGAGGAATTCATGAGTTGGCAGATAGCCTACCTGCAGTCCCTTACCCAGGGACTCAAGCAAGAGTGCCAGAAGTAGGCCGCCAACCAGGAGAAAAACCGGGCTGACCAGGAGGAAAGAAAGGCACTTGGGATGAGCTGGGGCAGCAGCATGACGCTATGTTCTCCACCCTCAACATGGAGATGGAGCGGATGGTGTCGTGCATGGAAGAGGGCACCAGCCCCCTGCCCATATGCCCCATGGCTTCCCTGGGGCTATGGGGCCCCAGAACATGGGGCAGTGGGTCCTCTAGGGCAGCCAGAGCCTTCAGACCACCTGGAGGCAGGCACCATTTTCAGTCCTGTCCCTGAGCCCTGCTTTGCCATTCCAGTTTCTTTTCCCATTCCCTCCCTTATTGTAGGTTCCTCTGAATAAAGAATCCTGTTTTTTCAAAAAAGATGTCCTTATTGTTTGCTCTGCAGGGGAGGAAGGGAAGGTAGGAAAGGAGTGCAGTGGATGTGAGGAGTGGGGGATGAAAAGCACACACAGGGAATGCAGGGGCCCTTGTGGAGAGGCACGGGGGAGAGTCTCAGAACTGGCCTTGCATGAAACTCTTCTTCGAGGCCTCTCTGATGAGCACAGCCCCTTTTCTGTGCTTTCCTGATGGCACTGGTGTCTGGTTGCTCAAATTCCCTGGTCAGACATTCAGTGTCAGCCCCCTACCCTAGCAGGAAAATTTCCCCCTTACTTTTGCACAGGTTGCAGGGCACGCAACAGGCCGCTGCCACGAAGGGGATATTGCACTTGCTGAGGTCCAGATGGGTGAGGAGACTCCCGAACCTCCCTTTTAACACCCAAACACACATTCTATGACCATTCAGCACTTGCCCAGACTGGTGTAGAACTCCTCCAATCTGCCCATGTAGGGCTTCATGAGCCAAGGGAGCCAGGGGTAGGCTGCATTGCCCAGTATCACGATGGGCATGTCCACCTCTCTGACTCTGATGGTGCAGTTGGGAAACAAAATGCCATTGTGCAACTTGTGAATGAGGCAGGAGTGCCGGAAGATGCGGGCGTTGTGCACCTTTCCCAACCATCTAACGTTGAATGTTGGTGAAGCATCCCTTGTGATGCAAGAGGGGCCACAGCACCATGGAGAAGTACCCCTTTCAGTTGATAAACTCCGAATCATGGTAGTCAGGGCCCAGGATGGGGATGTGCGTGCCATCGATGGCTGCATGGTAGTCAGGGCCCAGGATGGGAATGTGCGTGCCATCGATGGCTTCCCCCGCAGCTGGGGAAGCTGACGACGGTAAAACCATCAACAATGGTGTCCACGTTTCCTAGAGTGACAACCCTCTATAGCAGGATGTGGTTGATGGCCTTGGCTAGGTACACAGGCATGGCCCCGACTGTGAATTTCCCCATGCCAAACTGGTTCCCGACTGAGAGGTAGCTGTCCAGTGTGGTGAGCTTCCAGAAGGTGATGGTCACATGCTTCTGCAGGGGGATGGCAGGTCTCAAAGGTATTCTGTTACCTCAGGGCAGGGGTAAGCCACTTGCAGAGCTCCAGGAAGGTGGCCTTCCACATGTGGAAGTTCTTCAGCCACTGCTGATAATCCCATCCCTGCGGGACGATGCGGTCCCACCAGTCTGAGCTTGTCTCCCTCCACCAGGAACAGCATTCCACAGTGTCCAGGGGATTGAGGGGCATGTGCAGCAGCAGGAGCACCAGGACCTGAGTGAGCAAGGCCTGTGGGCCACGCTGGGGTTCGTCCTCGTTCTGCTGATGCAACACATGGGCAGTTTGGAAGTACTGCACCATGAAGAGCAGCACGAGGCCTGTAAGCCTAGCACGGCTTTGCAGCAGCTCTGGCTCCATGGTGTGAGTACTGTGGCATCTGCATGGGCAAGCAGAGCATAAGAAAGTATGTGCCCGCTGCATCCCTTTTCTGCCCCATGAGGGGGAAGGCAGTGGAGGAGTGGCTTGTGAGCTGTGATCATAGAGAGGAGCCCCTGTAACTGTACGTTGCACCTTGCCAGACCAAACAGCCACAGGAAGTATCTGCTCTCCTGGTGCCCTCCCCAGAGTGCTTCCAGGGGCTCTAAGTCTCAGGCAGGTTGTATTAAATGTGGAGATACTATTTTGGACTAATTCAAACTAGTTCTAATGTGTTAAAATCTGGAGTTAAGTCGAATTAACTAATTTTGAAATAATGTCTTAGTGTAGACATGGCCTCAGTGAGATCTCTTTGGGTTTACCTACAAGCAGAACAGAAGATGATACCACAAAGGACAGCTAAGTCCCTGCTCCAAAATCTGAGATCTAGTCCAACCTTCAAAATCTTGCTGAGCTGTCCTAGTGGACATTAAAAGTTCTCCAAAATGTGTTAACATAGCACTGTTTGAACATGGTCAGTTAACGCACCACATACTAATGTAGGCTAACATTTCAACCCATTTGGTGCAAATTAAAGCACTGTGTAGACATAAGAATATAAGAAAGGCCATACTAGATCAGATCAAAGGTCCATTTAGCTCAGCACCCGGTCTTCCAACAATGGCCAATGCCAGGGTTCCCAGACAGAATGAACACAACAGGTAATCATCAAGTGATCCATCCCATGTCGCTCATTCCCAGCTTCTGACTGACAAAGGCTAGGGACATCACATCTGCCCATCCTGGCTCATAGCCATTTATGGACCTAAAGACTATGGTCCTTTAGCTCAAGCCAAAAAAGGTTCATGCTTTTAGCTCTGGAGGTTCCCAGTAGATATATACTGGGTTACCATAACTATAAACCCTGTAATTAGTTCATGCTGTCGGTAGTTCATGTACAGAGGGGAACATTTTACATACAATGAAGGTGTCTGATGGCAGAATTAGGCTTTACGACTATGGATTCAGTCTGGTGGCTATTTCAAAAAAATGTGAGATCCAAATTATTTGTACACAAAGGGATGTTGTTAAGAGCCCAAAAGCCGAGATCCAAATTATTTGTACACAACATGTCAGAATACGACCAACATAACTAAATGGTAACATACTGAATCTTAGGAGGGCACAAAAGGCATTCTTTACAGTGGTTTCATCAGCATGGAACACGAAGGGTATGTCTACACTACATGGCTCCATCGACACTACATGGCTGCGCGCTGTGCCGATCTGCTGTTTGGCGGCACAATGTGGTAGTCTGGACGCTCGGGAATCGACATCAAAAGCCTTTGTCGACCACCCCCGGTAAACCTCATCCCACGAGGCATAACCTGAGAAAGGCTTTTGATGTCAACCGCCAAGTGTCCAGACTACCCCGCTGTGCCACCAAACAGCTGATCGGCACAGCGTGGCGGCCATTTTGATGTAAATGAAGCGGCGATTATTTAAATCGCCGCTTCATTTTGCTATGTCTACAAAGCTCATCTACATGGCTCTGTCAACGGAGCCATGTAGTGTAGACATACCCTAACTGCCCTGGATAAGGAGTATCTTGGTCATTAAAAAGGTTAAGGGAAAAACCAAGGGTCAACTATATTAAACTTCTGAAGGGCAAACATCATTTCACTTTCCATATGAGGAAAAGCCTAGCTGTGACTTTTTGTGTCTGGCCAACAGCTTTCAGCATGTTATTAGGATTCCATGTTTCTATGAGGTACACCCTCTAATATTCCATGTTGCTATGAGGTACATTCTCTAGAGATGCCTTTCTTCAACTGTTACATTTACTCCCAGAAGAGTTTCATAGAATAAATATTTTAATTACATGGCTCTGAAAAGAATAAGCCATCACCAGTGGTCATGCCAGGAAGATGATGAAGCAGCATGTGAAGATGCATTCCAATGGCAGAATTGTTGAAAAGAAGCATGTTCATGTTGCAGGCAATGCCTGTTGATTACATATAAATTAATCCTAAAACTTGATCAGAACAACTAAAAATAGCCTTTGACAACTTAAACTTTACTGAATAGAAAAGAAGAACATGGACAAAAGGGCAAAGCTCCCATTTTCATAGGTGACCTGGGTTCTTAAGTCACATCTGAAAATAAGATTTAGATGTTTTTGAAAATGCTACACGTCATATAAGGCTTTGGAATGTTTAGGCCTGACCTTGTAGTTTGATCTGCAAATGTGGGAGAAAGCCCATGGTGTGCATTAAACTAGAAAGTCAGACTAGATTATGACCATGGTCCCTTTAAACCTTAATCCATTTCGTGAAAAAGGGCAATTTTCTGCTAAGCATTTTCCAACCAGGACTCCCAAAGACCTATCCAAATTAGTAATATTTTTAAAAGTTTACACCCATGGAACTACACTGATGTTATTACAGGTGCAAACCTCAACATAGACACCATTAACCTGTCTGAAGTAGGGCTCACAATAACAATTCATTTCAAGCAGCGCTGTTGTCAACTCTGGTTTTCCATAAGGGCAGGGTGCATCTCGAAAAGGGCTTTGCACAGGGGTAACTCTACAGTTCTTCAAAAGAATACAGTAGTAGTGAGCATACTGAAGAGCAAGAGAGAGAGAGAGAGAGAGAGAGAGAGAGAGAATAGTGAGCATACTGAAGAGCGAGAGAGAGAGAGAGAGAGAGAGAGAGAACACCACACCTCAACCACATTCTTCCCAGTACTTGAGAGTAATATATTCTGACTACTAGGGACAAATGTTTTAACATAGCAAAGTATTTTATAAAAGGAGCATTCTGGCAAACTGACGCTTTAAAATGCTTCAAATATTGGCTAAATTTGATGCAACAATACCAGCTAACAGTACACAGTCAGTGGCCAGAGATGGCAGATGCAGCAGTAAATACATACCATGTTATTGGCCCAAGCAATTAAGTGCCCTCTCCATTTTACACTTCTTATATTTCCTTCTCCTTCATGTAAAACAGAAGGCTTCCATCTGTTCATCCAAGTCTTCTCATATAACAGCAACTGTGAAGAAGTGTAACAAACACATAGTTTTGTGAAGCAATGTTATATATAATGAAACTTATTTTTGATTCGTGTTTCTAATCTTTGCATTTGAATTGGAGCCCCGGTGTCTCCCCTCCTCCATACAAGAGGCCTGAAGCCCCAACCATCAGCAGCTCCCTTTCCGCATGGTGTCCCTACTTACGCATGTATTGAGAACTCATTCAACAAACTAAGATAACAAGGAAACATTTAAAATGTAAGAAACCATTACAGACAATTCTGCCTACAGATTGAACATGTTTTACTCTGAATTAACAAGTGATTTGGTGACCAGAAATGATACTCACTTTTATTATAACAAGGATTTCAAAGGATAGTTCTACAGATGCCTGTCTCTTGTATAACCACAAGATGGCACCAAAAGACAGATATTCCCAGAAAATTTAATTTGAGACAGAAAATACAAGTTATACCAGCAACTTTTACATGTCAGATGCACTGCAGAGAGCACATACTAACTGAATACATGCTTTGCAATTTCTCCCCCATCAAAATGAGATTATTTTACTAACACAGCATACAGAGCAGTGACACCTGTCAATGTCTATGGATAATTGTTCCTTTGTTCATATAATCTGTGAGTAAGTTACAAACAAAGTGGCATGAATCATTTGGCTTAGTTGCTTTTATGTAATGTTAAACTGAAGTAAAAAATAATGACAAGAGAACTTTAATACATGGAACTCAGAAATAGCTCCTGTTGGTGGCTACATACAATTGGAACGGATTTGTGCTATTTTACATAATATTAAAAGAAGGCTCGATGGGAAAAAAATATTCTTCAAGCATTTGCTTTAATTGTTGTAAGTTAATAATGGTGTAAGTAATAAAGGTACTTTAAAAGTGGCTACATTTATAGGGAATAATATTGATTGCAGATTGAACCCTTTTCTATTTGCAAACAGACTGTGATTATTGAAAATATATTTGCTATTTATAAGTAGTCACTGAGTTCCCTTGGAAGAACACTTTTACCTGAACCTATTTGGTTCATGAGCCACCCAGAGTGGATGACACATTTTTAAGAACAGACAGCATGAACAATTAACAATAAACTAGTTTATTCTTTCAGGATAATTTCCTGGAACTTTTAAATTGAATGATCTTCACAAATCCAAGCTGCCAAATAAGAGTAAACTGAATATATTTACAAAAATATTCACACATCAGAGTTTAAGAACAGAACCCTACAAATTGGAGGGATGGCTGCTTGACATCCGCAGGTATCCACATCCGCGGATGTGTATGTCCGCAGACCATTTTTGCCAATGCCGACGTAGATACCAATTTTGGATCCACACAGGCCTCTAAACGTATATCCCGTTGTTTTGTCCCATATGCTTAGCCAAACTGGAAAAAAAATTAAAACAAGGAATTAAAACAAAACAGAAAAGAAGTTATGACAATTAAAACCAATGATTTCCAGAGGTTCTGAGAACCTTCAGCTCCAAGCCTCCAAGAGAATTGTGGATGCCCAGTACCTCTGGAAAGTAAACCTTAAACATAATACACTTAAAAAAATAAGACTTCCAAAATAAATGTGAAAATTGGTTTAAGGTCTGTAGTTCATTAAAATGGCGCTAATCTTTTGTCCACAATATAAATTCAGAAGCCAAAATATTAAAGATGGATTTGACAGACAACTAAGTGCTATCTGAATTTGCCTATTCTGTACCATGCTTTAGGAAAGAGTTGACAATGTTACATTATTTAGACCCAAATACGCACCAATTTAGAATTGCTATACTATGGCAGGCAATGTCCTTTATGGTTTCTTAATACCTAATTAAATCCATCTGCCGATAGTTAAAAATACTGTTTGTGGGGAGAGGAAGTAGAAGGAACATCTACGTATTGCACCATGGAAAGCCTGGTTTGACATCTCTCCCCCACACAACACTTAACCATGAATAATTCATAGTCTTAACCCCAAACACACATGTGCGTACCTTTATGTACATAATCCGCCCATTAAGTGCAAAACTGATGTTTGCAGGATCAGAGCGAAAAGTCCAGGAGAAAAGAATAGCTACCCCCGTTTTGCAAATCAAGAAACAGAGATCCCACTCAGGAAAACATCCTTATGCAGGACAGCACTTATACAAGTGCTTAGAAGTAAGCAAATGTGCATGCATCTCCCTGAAGTGGGGTCAGAGATTAAGTGACATGTTCCATGTCACATGGGAAATCTGTTGCAGAGGAGTGAGCTGAACCCATTCTCCTGAATTGCAACGCAGTGTCCCATTTACAAGGTCACTCTTCCATTTTGAACAGTGCAAGAGGAGCAAATACTGGTGCCAAGAGCAAGAACTCCTAATCCAGTGGCTTCAATAAGACAATATTCTTCTCTCAAAAATGTGTTCCTCATTTAACTGCAATAAAACCATATACGCTATTTTACTGACATTTAATAAAATCTATTTCTCTTTTTCCTCACACTACAGCCACCTTGAGACTCACTGAACATGAATGTTCTACAAAGCATTTTAGGAGTTTGTAATCTATTGAGCATATTTCTCTTAAAAGCACTTCGCTAATTTATTTAGTTCATCTTCCACACAGCTATAGTATTGAATTATCATTATCGCAAAACCAAGAACAATTTAAACCCAATAGGAGCTGTGTATGTAGAGAGAAAAACAAATGTTTCCAAGATAGCCCCCCCCCCCTTTTTTTGGTTGGGGAAGGCATTTTAGGGCTTTAATTCCCATAAATCCACTCTCTGGCAGCCAGCATTCTCAGTACTTATTTTTCAATAGCAGCAGCAAAATCACTTCCTTGCATTCTTTGAAATATCCTTCATTCTTCTCTCTGTTTTGTTCTGGTATGTCTCCTCAGCTCTTTGTTACAATGCAGCAGTTTTTAAGATGCATATCCCAACATCTCCTATATATAGACACATTATAATATGAGTGCAATACAAACCAACAAGCTAAACCTGCTCTGACAGCATCACACCAGAAACTGGACTTGACCCTCATTTCCTCACTATTACAGAGAAGGGGTATACAAAGCTTTGTCCCACTAAAGTTTTCTTGATTTCTCATCACTTTAGTTGTTTTATGGTATTTTAATGACCATGGCTACGTCTACATTGGCATGATTTTGTGCAAATACTCTTTAACGCAAGAGTTCTTGCGTTAAAGTATTTGCGCAACAGAATGTCTACACTGCCATGTGCTTTTGCGCAAGAGCGTCCGTGCCAGTGCAGATGCTCTCTTGCGCAAGAAATTCATGTTACCAGTCTACACTGGCCTCTTGCGCAAGAGGGCTTAGTCCTGAACGGGAGCATCATAGTTCTTGCGCAAGAAGTACTGATTTCACACATTAGAACGTTAGTGTTCTTGCGCAAGAACTCCCTACCAGTGTAGACAGGCAGCATGTTTTTGCACAAAAGGGCCGCTTTGGCTCAAGATCGTACCAATGTAGACACAACCCAGATATCTGTGTTGAACCACCGAGCTGCTAGCAGTTGCAACAGAAGAAGTTTGCAGAAATGTACTTGTTGGTATCTTGTTAAAAGTTGCTCGTGACCAACAGTTTGAGAAACGCGGGGTTAAGTAAAGGACTTTTTGATGTTAAAACTGAATCAGTGTAATTCAACTAGATTATTGAATACCACTCTATGTATGTTGTACTATTAATATATCAGCCTTTTTGGAGAGAGCTCACGTAGAATGCAGCCACTAAAGAGAACAGACTGGTATTTTGACTTATTAAAGCCTGTCATGCATTAACCCTAATTACATGTAATCCTAGTCTTTAAATTATGCATAGTAATCCTCAATCATCTGAATACAGATACCAAAGACTATAGCAACAGTAATGGCAATGAGATGAAATGTAAACAGATTTTTTTCCAGCTACCAAATACTACGGTCACAACAATGAAATGAAAAACAAATGTTTCAAAAGGGAACAAATTGTTCTTTACAGCTGATTTACACAGGTAATTTTCCACATTTTACATGCATCTATGTCATGTAAAAATACCATGTTGAACTTATGTCATTTCTTCTTGAACTAGTAAAAAGTTTTACAAAAAAATTGCACATTTGACACAACTACAGCAGTGTAGGGGAGCAACAGAGAAAGAGAGAGTGAATGCGAGCAAGAGCAAGTACAAATAAACACTTCTGTTATAAATGGCAATACACTGGGTGGGTTCAAGAAGGCAATAGAAACTTGGTCAATAAAAAGTGGACTTTTTCTTCCAAACTATATCTAATAACATAACTATGAATAAATTCCATAGCTTCAAACCCAGGATGATTCAGGGAGGCTATTTCTACTGGATTAAGTCTTAATTGCTTTAACTGACAGCCTACTTATCACCAGCAAACCAACTGCCAATAGCATGATTTAACCTGAAATCCAAACTTTCCATACCACGGAGTTAATTATTTGGTATAAAATGCCATGTGTATCTTTCCATACTTCACGTATTTTGAAACTTTGTGTCTAGAATCCCATGTAGAGCTATTAAATATTTTTATATACATACACTGTACGTTTATAGTTACAAATACATGGATTTTACATGCAATTTACTGCCATATAACACACAAGTGAATTCTAATTCTCTCTCTTTCTGTCTGACAAGACACATATTGTGTTGACTAGAGGAAAAGCCCATCAACTTACATATATTCTAATATCTGCTTACTAAGTGAAGAGGACACCACTACTATTAAATGACTATCACTACATATATCTTAAGTATGTTCAAAACATCCTACATCCTTGTGAACAACTCATAGCTACAAATTTGGCCTGGTGGATGTTTCAGCCTGTACCCCTGTTTAAGGTAAATTACCCAATGCCTGAACACAGCCTGCCATAGTATTTGCTCTTACTTCACTTAAACTGGACCTCTTAGTATTTACTGACTGACATTTTACAGCTTACAAAGCAATCTGCCTTTCTTGTCTGGTACTCTTCTTCTACACAACGCAATA